TATTTCAGCCAGGCACAGGGAAAAGAAAAAATGCTGAAAACTAGGACTGGGAGGGGAAGATTAAGAATAATAATTAAAAAGACAAAAGTATTAATAATAATAGCTGTTTTAAAACAGATAAATACAAGCAAACTAATCACCAGAAAAAAGAAAAAAATTTAAAAAGAAGAAAAAAAAAATTGTGGAGGACAGGGCAGGGCACCCGGGCTCCATCTGAACACACAGACTGTGATGGAGTTCCTGTGGACCCAGAAGGTAGGTGGGAGTGGGGGATGGCTGCACCTCCGTTCACCAAGCTGGTGTGGGGTATAAGAGTAACAAGAAGAATGTGGTACCTTTTCAGTCTTGCAGGTCCAGAGTGACCTTGGGGTTGCTGGAAAGCAGAATGTGTTCTTAAGCCCCAGGAATCTGTGAACGCGCTATCTGTTTAAATATCCAAAATAGTCAAGCCGCTTTTAAACCTTCAAAATGGCGGTGTCCTCTGGACCGGCAAAAGTCCACAGCTCAGCCCGCCTTTCTCTTCACCTTCTCCGTTTATTCCCAGCCACCAGAGCAGTCCTCTGTGCAGTCCCTGGCTAGCGGGGCTGATTTTTAGGTTAATTCTTAGGTCCTCCCAGCACTCAGGAATCTCCAACCTATCTGTGGCATAAGGATCACTCAGGATCGCTGCCAGACCACAGCTCCGTATGTCTCCTTTTTTGGTATTTTCACACAAATTCTTCTGCTAGTTGGGGTTTAGTCCACTTCTATATCCTCCCCTTCAAGACTCAGGGGTCCGAGATTATCTTGTGTGTCTGTGTTAATTGGTTTCCCTTTTCTTTGTTGAAGAGGGTCTGTGTAGTCTTTCTGCCTAGTCCGCAATCTTGCCAGAACCTCTGCAAGACTGTTGTTGTTGTTGTTATGTGCTGTGAAGTCGGACCCGACTCATAGCGAACCCTCCTTGGGTTTCCGAGGTGATATCTCTACTGAAGTAGATTGCCCAACCTTCCTTGAGAGGAGTGGCTGGTGGCTTTGAACCACCAGCCTTCTGGTTAGCAGTCAAGTGCCTTAGGCACTACGCTACTGGAGACTACCATTTTAAAAACTTAAAAAAGAAAGAGGCTGATTTCACTTACGAATATAGATGTAAAGGTCCTAAATAAAAAAAGATTTGCAACCTTAATATTAGTGCATTGAAGAATAATAAGCCACAACCATGTAGGGTTTACTTCTAGAACCAAAGTGTCGGTTAATGTTAGAATATTAATTAATAATATTTCAATACAGTAGGAACATCACACACTGTCTTAGTCTGTGTAGTATGTGAATTTTATATATACAACACACATTCTAGAAGAAAATTTCCTTACCTTGGTAAAGAATATCTATCAGAAATAAATTGCAGGCATACTTTGTGTTGAAACACCAAAGGCTTCCCTTTAAAGCTGAGAATAAGACCTCAGCCATTTGATAGTATTCTGGAGGTTCCAGCCAGAGACATGGAAGAAAGAAAACCAATTGTGTTCTGCATAGAATTACAGCTGTCTATCTGCAACAATCTAAGAGGTAAAACAATGACTTAAAATTTATAAAAGAATTTGGAATACAAGATAAACAAAAATTAATGCTTACATATTAAAAAAAATTAAAGATATATTTTAAAAGATCTTGTTGATGAAGAATATTAATACACCATGACTGCCTGAAGAATGAACAGATTTGTCTTGGAAGAAGTGCATCCAGGATGTTCCTTAGAAGCAAGGATGGTGAGACTCTGTCTCATGTACTTTGGGCATGTCATCAGGAGGGACTAGTCCCTGGAGAAGGACATCATGCTTGGTGGAGGAGAGAGTCAGCGACAAAGAGGAAGACCCTCAATGAGTTGGATAGGCATAGTGGCTGCAACAGTGAGCTCAAATATAGCCATGATTGTGAGGATGGTGTAGGACTGGGCAGTGTTTTGTTCTCTTGTACACAGGATTGCTGTGAGTCAGAACTGATTCAATAATACCTGACAAAAACAACTCTTTATGGAAGCAGACTGTCACATCTTTCTTCCACTGAGTGGCTGGTGGGTTTGAACCATCAACTTTTTGGTTGGCAGCTGAATACTAACCACTGCACCACCAGGGCTGCTAATGGGATACTACTCAGCAACAAAAAGTAATAGACTGTTGATGGATTTCAGAATAATTATTCTGAGTAAATGAAGCCAGACCGGAAAAAAAGAATACAAAAGGGAAAAAAAAAGGAAATCTAGGTTAGACAAGGGAGAAGACTTCTGAGAACATGACTGTTACCTAAAATGTGATACAGGAAAAGATACCTTCTGAGTGACTTAAAAATTGATCACTTTTAATGTGTAAACCTACATGGAATGAACTAATTAATCAACAGTAGCTATTATTAATTCAGGAACCCTGGCCAGTGCAAATGGTTAAGTCTTTGACTACTTGATGAAAGGTTGTTGGTTCAAACCCACCCAGGGGCTCTTCAGAAAACAAGCTTGGAGATTTGCTTCCAAAAGGTCAGTCTTGAAAACTCTAGGGAGCACTGACATACATGGGGTCGCCCTGCGTCAGAGTCAACTCAACAGTTAGAATATTACTAATTCTAAAAGCCTGAGTGAATATATTTTAAAACATCCCTCAAAATAGTTTAAAACAAACAAAAAAAAAAAAAAAAGGAAAAGGAAACAGAAGTGTGACTATATAAAACAGCATATATTCAAAAACATAGCAAACTATTTCCAGCTATATCAAATGGGATGTTCTGAGTTAGAGGTAATGGTAAACCTTTACAAAAAACCCTGTGTGACTTAAATTATAAGGAAATTTATAAAGCAGTGTAACTGGAAATGCAGTTAAGGGCAGGTTCTCCAAGGTGAGACCAGTGGCTCACTGAGGTCATCAAGGACCCAGGATCTTCTCTCTCCTCCACCATCATCAATATCGACTGTGTTCATAGTTCCCTTTTGTGTTGAAACATAGTTGCTCATTAGCAGTCAAGGCCACTTGCTTGTTCAGCTGAAGATACAGATAGAAATTCAGCCTAGAGTGTCATTCCTTCCCTTTAGTCTGATTGAGACAGTGTAGGTCATGTCCTCACTCCTGGTGGTGCACTGAATAGATCAGGATCCCCCTGGACCAGGGATGGCAGGGACATTGAGCAGAATCACACTCTGTTAGGAAGAAGTGAAGTAGAAGTTGGGTAAGCAGCCAGCTGTGTCCACTACATATGTATGTACAGGGTTGTTATATTTCACATGTAAAACGTAATTGAATCATTTAAAGAAAGCTCCCAGGAGCTTCGTAGTTTTTCCAACAGAGTTAAAAAGAGGTGGTCAAAAGTAGTTTTTTTGAAACGACATGGGCTGTTCACTAAAAACCGTTTGTGTTCTTAACAGAGACTCCGGGGACGTAGCAGCTCTCCGAGGGTGAGTTCAGCCTAGAGGGTTCCTTTTGTTTCATTTAATCCAGCTTTATCCTCTGGCCACTCAGTCACCTATGTGTTTGGTTCTTCTCTGTGATTCAGATCCCGGAAATTTAACATTCTGGGCACAAACACGAAAGTGATGAACATGGAAGAGTCCAACAATGGCAGCCTTTCTGCAGAGTTCAAGCACTTGGTATGTGGAGAAGCCCGACTCCCCTCCCCAAGGGCACCTGGCAGTGTGGGAGGTCAGGGGAGAGCCTCTATGACAGAAGTGCTTTTTGCTTTTCTTACAGACCCTCAGGGAGCAAAGATGTGGCAATGGGGGCCGAGCAAATTGCGATGTAAGTTTTGTTGGGGATGACAACCATCTGGGAGGGTTTCTGTTGATGTGGAGAGAAGAGTGAGCCTTTTTACTACCCTGAATTAGGGACATCAACCTGCATTTTCAGCTGTATGATTCAGAAAAGTGACCGTAGGCCAAGTGACATGATACAAAGTCACCTGGGCCATGGGGCTTTCTTTCTCACGGCGTTTCCACAACTGTTCTGGGAATTAGCTTATCATTGAGAAGAGGTGGCGAGTCCCCATTTGGTCGAAAAGCAGCTTTCCACCTTGCCTGGGGCTCTCCAAACGCCCCTTCCAACTCCTGCCAGCCAGGACTCACCCACTGGCTCTTCTCTTGGTGACCTGTTTTGTTCACGGAGGTGAGATTGAGAGTGTACAAGGCAACAGATCTGAGTTAAACATTAAAGCAAAAGAAAAAAAACAAAACCTTTTCTTGTTCTTCAGCCTCCTCTTTTCTTCTCCGTCTCTCATTGGTTCAGGTACTAGATTCTTAGTGGCAGGAAAAACGTTTTTATTTATTTAGGCAAATGTGAGGAAAAACTAGTTTTCAGTCTTTTAAAAAATTGTGATACTCTGTTCTTTTTCTGATGCATTAATGTACTTTCTAGCTCTTGAGCCCATCTTTCCTCTCCTAATATATAGCAGGCCTTTAAAAAAAAAAGGGAACTGAATTAGAACAATATAATACTTGACGGCAATTAAAGAATGAGGTCGTTTGTATGCAGCATGTTCATAAAGCATGTACGTGGCCTCTCTGTGTAGAAAAAGCAAGATGCAAAATTATCTGAGTGGGATGTTAGTATTTTTGTTTTAAAAAGATGCCACAGCCTGTTTCATGTTTATTCATGTACTCATTCTGAAGAAGTACACACCAAACAGTGCTTCTGTATTAGTGCTGTTGTTAGTATCCAGGCTACTCTAAACTATTTCTGTAATATTTGCATTTTAAATTAAACCCGTATTACTTTTGTAATCGGAAAAGGGCTCCTTTTAAAATGAACTGTTCTATTTCTGAGAATTAATTGGTAACTCCTGTTCAGAAGATGATTGCTATGGTGCTAGTCTAGGGAGTTTAAACTGTTACAGTCACTTTGGAATTTGGGTTATAAAAATGAGCATACTCTATAACTCAGCCCCAGGGATACAGGTGAGGAGAGACAACTCAGGGACGCCCAAAGCAGCAGGCCAGAAGAGCACGAGAAAGGGGATTAAAAGCCAGGAAGCCAGACAGGAACAGTCAGCCACAGGGCCCCAGGCGGGGGTGATACAAGAGGTCTCCAACAGCAAGACAGACTTGTCTGTCGGTTTGTCCTACTGTGGTGACATGTAGACGTGAGTTTTGAGGCTGAGCCTC